CATCAGTCATCAGCTTTATTGTTATATTTGTTCTTCTGAAATATAACATGTCTGCCTTCCAGGTTTTCTCTTTAACTTTGGTTCTCAGCAGTTTATGTGTGTGTGTGTGTGTGTGTGTGTGTGTGTGTGTGTGTGTGTGTGTAGCTTTCTGAGCATCTCCTCACCTTCTGAGACTAAAATTACACACTAAGGTGAGGAAAGTGAGACGAATAGGGCACAGGAACTATTCAAAGATAGAGTCACCAATGTTGTTCTGAAATAAGCAAAAACACCAAATCGTGGATTGGAGAAGCTCGGAGAACTCCAAATATTTGGATAGATTTTCCAGCCCTTCTTCTGTTATTAATTCTAGTTTCATTCTTTTGTGGCCTTTCACTCATACTTTGTATGATTTCTATTCTTTTAATTCAATTCTATCAAAAGATTTTAAGAACATGGATTATGTGTTTCTCATTAAAAAAGATTGTGACTTTCTCAGAATTTAGCTCATAATTAAATGCACACACATTCCCAGCTTCGACTGGTGGCATAGAATGAAAAGGTTTGACCCTTCTTAAGTTTCAGCTTCCTATAAAACATCCCTGTGGAAACGTTCAATACCTAGAGATAAATATTTAGGAGTCATCTACATAGACAGAACCACATATGGATAATTGCATACTATGTACTGTAGATCATTAAGACCATAAGATTATGTAGGAAGCAGGCAGACAGAAGACAAGAGAATCTGGGCCAGTGCCCAAAGTCTAACTGAACGACGGAGCAGAGAGGGAGCCGCCTAACTGAGAAGGAACTGCCAAATGCAGTGAGATGAGAACCAGGAACTGCTGGTCTCCCAAAGTCCAGAGTGATGAACAATTCCAAGGCAGAGTGAACTGTCTGTTGTTTCCATTGCTAAGTGTCCAGGGCAGTCTCAGGAGGATCGTGGGGCTGGAGTTCACCTGGGGATAGTGATGAAATCATTTGAAGTAAGGAAATAGTGACTATAAAAAACCCTTACCAAAAATAAATAAACAAATAAAACCTGGCTCTAAAGGAAAGTCCAAAAGAGATGCTAGCCCTGGAGGAGAGTTTCTCAATCTCCGCACTCTGGAACCTTTGCGCGAGATGCTTCTTTGTTGTTGTCTTGTCTGTCCTCAGAAGTTTACTGGCATCCCTGGCCTCTAGTCACTAAATGCTTGCCAGTGATAGCAACTGACCTCTTGAGGGGGCCATAGTTCTCCCCAGGTGAGGAGACCACAGTTTTTAGATTGAACCTGAGCGTTTAGACGTGGCAACACCAAGAACATGGATATGTTCATGAGAGTTGGGTGCTAAAGGAAAATGAAGGAAAGACCGTTGAAAAAATGATTAATCCAGGCCTGTGGAGGCCAAGCAGAGATCTGGAGATTAATTTGTTTGTTTGTTTGTTTGAAAGAGCTAGCAGGTAGTATAGTCTGATGGCTACATTACACAAAGGTAGATTTCTGAAGAAGAGAGGAGGACTGTAAAATGTTACAAGTTTGAAAAACTTTTTTTTGTTTTGCTTTTGGCATTTAATTCACATGTCATACAATTCAACAGTCAAACCATTTGAGAAGAAGTTATACCATCACTTTTAGAACATTTTCTTCATTAACATGCTACACATTTATGAAAGATGTAGTGAGCACTCTTCTGGCAATCGGGAGAACAACTTCTACGAACATATTCTTGGATTCATCTAGCCAATTCAAAGGGACAACATATATTAACTATTTAAGGGTCATATCTTATTCTGTTTCTTTTTCCTTCTTCTTCATTTCTTCCCCCCTCCCGTCCTTGTTTACTTTCTTTGTTCATAGCTATCAACCAGAAACCACTTTGCTTAGCTAGCACCATAAGACTACAAGCCTTCTGTCGGGAAGGACCTCAGAAGGCAGGGATACAAATTCATACAGATGGGTAGACAAGGAGATGGCGAAACGAGTCCTGCCTAATTAACTGACATGTAAAGCAAAATTTAGCTGCTATTAAGTATGTCTTATAATCTCTACTGTCTATTTGTGTTATAGTGACCATATTTGGCCCCAAAAGCATTTTTTAAAGATATCTGCATTTTTTTAAGAAAATAGAATTTTTTGAAAGCAGATAGAACTATCTCTAAGTATAGCGGCTTCAAATATCCTTTAAGTCTGTATGTGGAACCACATTATCTGAATATTGGGATGCACTTTTTTTTAAGACCCAAGGACAAAAGAAAGTTGCCAGTATGGTGGAAAGTAAAGACGTTCACAAAGGAATATTTCAAATAGAATGGGAACATAAGAAAATGGAGATGGAAATGGAAGATCTAAACCAAAAGGCTTGGGATATTCAGATGCTGTTTTTTTCAAGAGATCGTCAAAAGGTAAGCTTCCCCTGACCACCCATGTGGTTTTTTGTTTTGTTCTAATTGTAGTAAAATAGATAGGTGATGAAGATTTCCCATTTTAACAATTTTAAGAGTGCAATTCCATGACAATTATAGTCACCGTGTTTTGCTACCATCACCACTCAGCATTTTCCAATGGTTTGCATACTCCACCACGCTCAAATAGCAATGTAGTATCTTTTCAGCTACAATGCTCTTTCCACCCTCCCCTGAACTTCCAGTAGCCCCTGGTAAGCTTTCCTCCCTATGGATTTGCCTAGTCTAGATAGTTCATAAAAGTTGGATCATACATCTGTCCTGCTGTGCCGGACTCACACAGACTGTGCTCAGAATAATGTTTTTAAGATTCAGCCATGCAGTAGTGTCAAAACTTTATTTCTCCTTATGACTAAATAAAGTCCCATTGTATGAATACACCACATCTTGTTTACCCATTCAGCCACTGACGGGCACTTGGGATGTCTGATAGTTTTCAATTCACTAATTTAAACTGTCTTTAATAAGAATCCTCTGAGCGCTATGATTCAGAATCGATTCGATGGCAGTGAAGATCGACAGGTTCTTTTTCTCCCAGGACTTCATTTGTGGCCTTCAGTCTTTCTTGACCGATTCCGCTTAACAAACCCACTGACTCCTAGCGACCCCGTGGGTTTCTGGGACTAATTGTTCACTGGAGTAGAAACTCCAGTTGCCTTCATCCCATGGAGCTGCTACCGTTTTCCAAAGGCAACCCATCAGGACCGCAGCCTAGGGCCTAACACCACCGCACCACCAGGACGCCTCTCAGCTCGACAAGGATTTCCTAAGTCCGATGCTGTGGTCTCGAGCAGTTCCACCCCATCCTATAGGGTCGAAGAATTGACTCGATGGCAATGAGTTTGGTTTTGTTTGTTTGTTGCTCCCTTTCCCACCATCTCCACTCCCCCCTCCACAGAATTTGACCATTTCCTTGGCTCTTCTCAACTCTACTTCCTCCCGCTTTTCTTCTAACATACCAGACCTCGCTGCTCAATTTACTGACTCCGCTTTTGCTTCTAGCCCTTAAGGATGTGGGGTTTTTTTGGTTTTTTTGTTTGTTTTCATGATATCTGGTTTTTTGATTGTTTCTCTGACATCAGTGATCACTTTTAAAAGATTACTTCTCAAATCAAGCTCTCTGACAATTGCTTCTCTCGTGTTTCATTTCCAGGTTGCCCCCAACACCTCCTTTGTCTGTTTGTTTGTGTCTGTTCTTTACAGCCACGCTCTAGTCTGGTCTTTTTTCAACTCCCCATTTCCTTTTCCTTCCAAGCCTTGCCTCATCTATTCCTTTCTCACTCTGAATCCCGATCGCCATTTCCCACGCTCACGCTTCCACTTTCAATGGTTTAAACTGCTTCATAAAATGATATTCCAGCTGGTCTTTCAACTTTGGGTCTTTCTTTTATCTAAGCTATTGTAGACATCTATATTGCTCTCAGATGAAAATTCTTAAGCAGTTCTAACTACACTTCTACTCCAGTTTAAACCCTTCAGCTGCTGCTTCTCAGATGGCAGTTACGAATTCTGAAATCCTTAGGAGGCATTCAGACTGCCTTTTCAAGTTCACTCCCCATTATTCCTCTCACACATCCATAACTGTGTGATGACTGTTTCCTAAAATCCTCAAACCAAACTGATGACTGTTTTCTAAAATTCTGCCCCGAGGCCTTTGGCCAAACTGGTTCTTCTACCTGGAATATCTTTCCTTCCTTTCACCCCCATCATTAGCCTATCTGTTTTTCAGGATCTAGTTTAAGTGCCCCGGTGGTGGTGGTGTAGTTAGTGGATATGCATAGGGCTACAATCTGCAAAGTTTGAAGTTTGAAACAATCAGCCACTCCTCAGGAGAAGGACAGAGCTTTCTATTCTGGTAAAGAGTTAGCATTCTCAGAAACACATAGGAGCAATTCTACCTTGTCCTAGAGCAGTGGTTCTCAACCTTCCTAATGCCGCAACCCTTTAATACAGCTCATGTTGTGGTGACACCCCCCCAACCATAAAATTATTTTCATTGCTACTTCATAACTGTAATTTTGCTAGTGTTAAAATTGGGCAACCCCTGTGACTCCAAAGGGCTGACGACCCACAGGTTGAGAACCGCTGTCCTATAGGGTCACTGTGAGTCAGCATCAACTCTATGACAGTGAGTGAGAAGAATTTAAGTGCCACCTCTTCCCCACAGACTTTTCTGTTTTTCCCAGCCTGGAGAATGCACATCCCATCACAAATCACTTTTGAATTTGCATGGCACTTTAATATCTTCTAGCAACTCCTGAGGTCTAAATGAGCGTTTTCTCTTTGTCATGTTATTTCTCTTGGTATCACCCCAGTGTATTTGCATTCAAGAGAGACACTTAATGTATGTTTTTGGAACTGAACAAATAAAGGAATGGATGAATGAGTGAGAAAATAAACTTTATGCATCAGTAATAGATAAGTGAGCTTCAGAAGCAACAAAGCCCACATGGAAGAAGCACACCAGCCTATCCAACCACGAGGTGTCGAAGGGATCAGGTGTAAGGCATCATCAGAACAAAAAATCTTACCATAGTGAATGATGGGGGGAGTGCAGAGTGGAGATCCAAAGCCCATCAGTAGGCCACTGGAGATCCCCTTGCAGAGGGGTCTCGGGGAGGAGATGAGCCAGTCAGGGTGCGATGTAACAATGATGAGAAATGCAACCTTCCTCTAGTTCCTAAAGGTTTCCTCCCCGCTCCCACTACCATGACTCGAATTCTATCTTGCAAGACTGGCTAGACCAGAGGAGGTACACTGGTACAGATAGGAACTGAAAATACAGGGAATCCAGGACGGATGAGCCCTATAGGACCAGTGGTATGAGTGGCAAAACAGGGAGGGTAAAGGGAGAATGGGTAGGAAAGAGGGAACCGATTATATGGAACTGTGTGTGACCTCCTCCCTGGGGGACAGACAACCAAAAAGTGGATGAAGGGAGACGTCGGACAGGGCAAGATATGACAAAATACCCATTTATAAACTATCAAGGGCTCATGTGGGAGAGGGGAGCGGGGAGGGAGGGGAAAAATGAGGACCTAATGTCGGGGGTTTAAATGGAGAGAAAATGTTTTGAGAAACGATGTACAAATGCGCTTTACACAATTGATGTGTGTATGGATTGGGATAACAGTTGTATGAGCCCCTAATAAAATGTTAAAAAAGAAAAAAAAATAGATAAGTGAGCTTAATGATGGTTAAAGGCAACTAAATATTATGACAAAAAAGTCAAATAAATCTTAATTCTATAGAAACCAGTGTTTATTACCAAAAAAATCCTCTTGAAAAACTATGATACTGCAGATAAAGTTGCCTGTAAAAAGAGAGGAAAATATGCTAACATGTATTATCTTTCTCTTCCAAAGTTCCTAAATGAACCACGCTATGAGACTCTGATAGCTATTCAGATTGGGATAATGGAGCAAACTATTGCTGTTATAGAAAAGGTAGGTCTCCAAGATATTGATCATGATGATGCCAACACTTATGAAACACTTGAGTAAAGTAACAGCATTTCAAATAACGAACTGAGCAGAACTCAGCAAAATCTTGGTAATTTACTAATACTCGAGATATAATTAGAGGTTCCTGAAAAGTGTCTTTACAACCACCACAAGTGGTATATAGAATTGAAGCAGTTCTTTTCCTTCTAGAATTAACTCTTTGGGAGATATTCAAGTGTATGGGGCTTTCCTATTTTCACACTGTGATTTATGTAATAGAAATGCTAATAGTATCTCCTTGGCTTTTTCAACTTTGCTTAATACTCAGTTTTTATTGTATAGCAAATGCAAGAGATGAAAACAAAGTAATGTCAAGGCAATCGTGGGTGTTTTTAATCATTTGTCATTTTGAGGGCATATGGGATTTTTAAAAATTAAAAAATTTTAACATAACATTATTATTATATTAACATAAAATTCTGCCTTTCAGTGAATAATTTGAGTGCCTAATAAGTGTAAAACTTGAACCAAGTCCTAAGGATATGGTAGTGAGATATTTTAATGATGAATCACTTAAAGTTTAAAAATGTCTGTATGAAATCTAATACATTTTCTTTCAAATTTGTGTGGTGTTATGGGACCAAAACTCCAGACCCATAGGAAGAATGTGGAAAATTGCAAAAAACTCATTAAAAAGCTTGGAAGGTACAGCGGTCACAAGGATTTATCAAATTATGTTCTAAGTTGCAATTTACGAGAAGAGTTGGTGGCTGTCTCAGAGAGAAGAGACATCTGTAATACAATTGGTAAGCTCCTGTTTTCTTTTAAACGGACTGTTGTTGTCCTGTGGGTTCCATCCAGTCGGACCCCGGTTCAACAGAGCAAAGCACTGCCAGACCTGCTCGCCTCACAATTATTGTCATGTTTGAGCCCATTGTTGTAGCCGCTGTGTTAACTCCTCGCCTTGTGGGTCTTCCTGTATGTCAGTGGCCCTCCATGTTACCAACCATGAAATCTGTCTCCCGAGGTTGGTCCAACGCATGGAAGAGAAAGTCTCACTAGCCTGGATTCTAAAAAGCATTCTGGCCAACCTTCCTCCAAGACAGATGTGTTTGTTGTTCTGTCAGTCCATGGGACTTTCGGGATTCGTGGCCAACAGTGTCATTCAAAGGCATCAGTTCCTCTGTGTTTCTTATCCATTGCTCAGCTTTCCCATGAATATGAGCCCAAACCAAACACTTCTGTAGATTGATTCTGACCCATAGCAACCTTATAAGACAGGTAGAACTGCCCCTGTGGGTTTCCAAGATGGTAACATTTTATGGAAGTAGATATCCAAGTCTTTCTACCACAGAGCAGCTGGTAGTTTTGAACTGCTGACCTTGTAGTTAGCAACCCAATGGGTAACCATGTGCTAGTAGGACTCCACATGCATATGAGGCGATTGAAAATACCAGGGCATTTTAGTCTTCAAAGGAATATTAGTGGGTTTGTTTTGTGTTTTTTTCACATTTAGAAGTCTTGTTCAGCAGATTTTCCCAGTATAATAGGCCATTTGACTTCTTGACTGCTGCTTCCATGAGCTCGATTGTGGATCCAAGTAAAATGAAATCCTTGACAACTTCAATTTTTTCTCCATTTATTGGACCAATTGTAAAGATTTGTTTTCTTTACCCTGAGTTGCGATCCATAGGGAAGTTGTAAATGTCATCAGTAAGTGCTTCAGGGTCCCTTTGCTTTGTGTTGTCTGCATAGCAAGCTTTCCTCCTCTCCTGACACTGTGTGTTCTTCATCGTATAGTCCAGCTCCTCGGTCTCTTTGCCAAGTGTACAGAGTGAATGCATATGGTGAAAAGGGCCAGGCTGACAGGACTGTAAGCCATGCAGCATCCCCTTGTTCTGGTCAAATGACTGCCTTTGGTTTATGTACAAGTTCTCCACAAGCACAATTAATTGTTCTGGAATGTCCATTCTTCCCAATATTATCTATAGTTTATTATGTTCCACACAGTCAAATGCCTTTGTATAATCAATAATATGCAAATAAAAATTGTTCTCTGTGTTATGCCAGGTAACACAGAGTAGAGAAACACATTTGAGTAGAGAAACAAATCCAGTGGCACTCATATGTGTATGAGAGAGCTTTATATCAGGAACTAATTATGCATCAAGAAAACACTCTAGCCCAGTCAAACTCAAATCCATAAATCCGATAATAGTTCACAAATCCCTCTTCAGACTCACATAGTCACAAGCAATGATGCAGAATGCAGGAATATCACAGGCCGGTGGGTGCAAAGTCCCCTGGATCCAATGGCGATGGATGCATCTCCAGGGCTCTGGAAGCAATCCGGTCCACCAGCAGGAAGGTGAAGGCACAGAGAGAGGGTGAGATTCCCAGGGCCCTCCTTATAAGGCCATCCCCACACGGCGGCATCATCCAGACTATGACCTGATTGACAGGTTGAAAACCACCCCAACACTTTCAGCTATGTTCAAGTTGACGTGAAATTATGTAACTATCTCACTCTATTATCCACTCCTTTCAGCCTAGATCCACCTGACATCAATGGTATTATTTGTCCTCTTCTGGATCCAGCTTGAATTTCTGGCAACTCTTGATCTTAAAATGTTCTCTTTAACAATGAATGTAACACCATTGCTCTTCAATTTGCTTTCCTGGGATAGTAAATCATATGATTACGGAATCTGGTTCAAAATGGCCAATGCAAATCCATTTCAGCTCGCTAATACCTAGGATCCACCACTGGTCTGGCAGTTTGTCCTGCTGTGGTGGCTCGTGTGTTGCTGTGATGCTAGAAGCTATGCCACACACATATCAAATACCAGCAGGGTCACCCACGGTGAGCAGGTTTAAGTGGAACGCTCAAACTACGAATAGGTTAGGAAGAAGGAAGAGGCTCTCCACTTCTGAAAAATTAGCTACTGAAAACCTTATGAATACCAGTGCAACATCACCTGATACAGTGCCGGAAGATGAGCCCCTCAATTTGGAATGTACTCAGAATACAACTGGAAAGGTGCTGCCTCCTCAAAGCAGAGCCAACTTTAATGCCTTGGATGGAGCCAAGCTTTCAGGGCCTTGTCCGATGATGAGGCACTACGCTACATGAGACGAAACAGCTGCAAACATCCACAAATAATGAGAACATGGACTATATGAAGTCTGATCTGGGAAAGTGAGAAAAAAAGAAATGGAACATATGGAGATAGATATCCTAGGGATTAGTGAACTGAAATGGACTGCTATTGGACATGTGAATCAGACAAACACATGGTTTAGTATTCTGGGAGTGACAAATTCAAGAGGAATGGCATCCTGCCCATCATCAAAAATGACATTTCCAGGTCCATCTTGGAATACAATGCTGTCTGGGATAGGATAATATCTCTATACCTACACAGAAGATCTGTGAATGCAACTATTATTCAGATGTATACACTACCCACTAAAGCCAATGATGAAAAAATGGAAGAATTCCACCAATGTCTTCAGTCTGAAATTGATCAAACATGCAATCAGGATACAATGGCAATTACTGGCGATTGGAATGTGCAAACTGGAAACAAAAGAGGAAAATAAGTAGTTGGAAACTATATATGGCCTTGGTGACCAATGAAACTGCATGCCACATGATAGAACTGTTCTTAATTGCAAGAAAAAATGACTTCTTAATTGCAAACACCTATTTTTCTATAACACAAACAGGAACTATACATATGGAATATGCAGGGATTAAGTTCACTACATCTATGGGAAGAGATGATGGAGAAACTCAATACCACCATCCAAAACAAAGACCGACTGTGGGGCAGACGATCAATTCATCCTGTGAAAGTTCAGGTGGAAGATGAAGAAAATTAAAATTGGTCCACAGGAACCAAAATACAATATTGAGTATATCCCACTCAAATTTAAAAATCATCTCAGGATTTGACGCATTGAGCACCAATAACCAAAGGCTTGCTGAGGTGTGGCATGACATCAAAAAAAATCACACATGAAAAGAAAAGAAAGACAGAGGCGATGTCAGAGGAGATGCTGAAACTTGCTCTTAAAGGTGGAATAGTCAAGCACATGGAAGAAATGATTAAGGAGATGAACAGAGGTATTCAAAAGGCAGTTCAAGAAAATAAAATAAAACACTATAATGAAATGTGCAATGCCTGGAGTTAGAAAACCAAAAGGGAAGCACATGAATATTTCAAGTTAGAAGCATGGAAGACAGACTCCAAGGCTGGCACTGCAATATTGAAGGGTTATATGGGCAAAATCTTAACATCACACACAAGACAATTTTTGCTGAAGATCATTTTTAAAACCTTTCACAGTAAAACATTCGCAGTAGGTTGACAGAAATCTAAACTAGGTTCTGAAGAGGACAAGGAACAAGAGGTTGTTGACATCAGGTGGATCTGGGCTGAAAGCAGAGCATATCAGCAGTTGACTGTATGTTTCCTTAAGTCTGTAGAGCAGCTACAGAGGTACCAGCAGGGATCAGGGTTTCCAAAGTTATAACAGACCCACTTGGTTCATTGAATGTTACTTCTGTATTTGAGGGACACACAATAATAATCCGAATAATTTCTTTCTCTTTCCTTTTTGGGACAGGATCTAAACTGACTTGTGAAAAGATTGCCAAAGAACGATATGATAACATGATGGAACAACAAAGGCTAACCCATATTTCAAAACAACAAGCTGAAGAGATTTCAATTCTACAGGCTGAAGTTGAAAGATTAAGGATGAGAACATTCCCTGCTCTGGTTCCATTTTAAAACAGCTAGCCCAATCATCATTTAAAAAATTGTTTCATTTGCTTAAAATTGTTTTTCTTTTGTTGGGAAATTTAAGTAGATTCTACTCGATGTTACATATTTTAAATAGCAATTTTTTAAAGTTTAAGCATTAATCATTATAAACATGTTTGTCCTACATTAATAAATGTTAGAAATATTATGAATTAATTTTTTTTATTCAAGAGTGAACAAGATTTTAACGCGTAAAGTATTCAAGATCTAGTTTATCCAATTAGTGTTAATTAAATCATTTTGTCGGTTATAGTATTGAAAGTTTTAAAGAAAATGAAAATTATTCTTAACTATAACTAGAATTTTGGATTTTATTAAATTACCATAAGAGATATGATTGTGGATAATTTTTAGCACGTCTGTTTCTGTTTTCCTGTCACTTATCTGTCAGTTTGTCGAGCCGTGGTGGCTTGCATGTTGCTGCCATGTTGGAAGCTGTGTCCCTGGTATTTTAAATGCCAGCAGGGTGCCCTAGGTGAACAGGGTTCAGCAGGCTTCCAGACTCAGAAAGGACTAGGGAGAAGAAATGGGCTGTCTGCTTGAGAGGCTTTGGTCACTGAAAATCTAATGAATAGCAGCAGAATATCGTCAGGTGTAGGACCGAAAGCTCGGTTAGGCTGTCCATTTTCAGAGATTAGCCACTAACACCTTACAGATAGTAGCAAGGGCACGTTGTCAGATGGAGGCCAGATGGTGAGCCCCGCGGGGCAGCGCGCGCACTGCGACTGGGGAAGAACTGCCTCCTGGAAGGGAGGGTGCACCATCACGATGTGTTTCTGGGACCCTCATTTGCTGGCAGGCACAACTCAGAATGGAAAGAAACAGCTGCAAGCATCCATTCTTCATCAAACCATGGGATGTACAAAGCATTCCTCTAAGAGATTTTAAAGTCATCAAAAATAAAATGGAATGCAAGAAGTTCAATATTGTAGGCATCAGATGAAATACAGTGGTATAGCCCATTTAAAATAAAACATTTATGTTATTCTGTGCCGAGAATGACAGGTTCACAGGAACGGTGTCACATTCGTGGTCAACATTAACATTTCAATATCTATATTGAAGTACAATGCTGCCTGTGATAGGATGGTATCTATACAACTACAAGGAAGACCAGTTAATGTAGCTATATACTCGAGTATAAACCGACCCGGGTTTTTTACCATAAAAACTGCATTAAAAATGTGCTGAAAAACTCGGCTTATACACGAATATATATGGTAACTATTAGTCAAATTTATGCAGCAATCACCAAAGCTAGTGATGAAGAAATTGAAGAATTATACTAATGTCTTCGGTCTAAAATTGATCAAATATGCACTCAAGATGCATTGATAATTATTGATCATAAGAAGACAAAAGTTGGAGAAAAAGAAGAAAGAACTTGGTTGGAAAATATGACTATGGCGATAAAAACAAAGTTGACAATCACATGATAAAATGTTGCAAAACCAATGACTTCCTATTTGTAAATCCTTTTTTCTTCAGCAACATCGTGAGTGAATAACATAGACCTAGCCAGAAGGAAGACCCAGGAATCAAACTGACTATATTTTCAGGAAAAGATAAGGGAGAAGCTCTGTATTAGCACTCAAAACAAGGCCAGGCCCTGACTGTGGAACAGACTATCAATTGCTCTAATGTTCAGGTTAAAAGTGAAGAAAGCTAAAACAAATCCAAAATAGCCAAAATATGACCAAAGTATATCACAAAACCAAACTCACTGCCAACGAGTCGAGGGTAACTCATGGCAACTCCCTGTGAGGGCAAAAAGGCCGATCTTTCTACCAAAGAGCTGCTGGTGGTTTCAAACTGTTGACCATGTGGATCACAGCCCAACTCGTAACCACTACACTACCAGGGCTCCTTTATGACCTAAGTATAGCCCACCTGAAATTAGCTCAAGAATAGATTTGACTTATTGAACATTAATGACAGAAGATAAAAGTGCATCTCAGAAGAGACTATGAAACTTGCTCTTGATCATAGAGTAGTTAAAGCAAATGGAAGAAATGATGATGTAAAAGAGTTGAAGAGAAATTTTCAAAAGGATGGCTTGAGACAGCCAAATAAATGATTATAATGAAATGTACAAAAACCTGGAGTTAGCAAGCCAGAAAAGAAGCACACCCTCCCTGTACCTCAAGCTGAAAGAACTGGAGAGAAAAGTCAAGACTTGAGTTGCAATATTGAAAGGGTCTATGGGCAAAATATTGAATGACACAAAAGCATCAGAGTTGATGGAAGTAATATGCAAAGTCACTGTACTAAAAAGAACTGCTCCACATCCAACCATTTCAAGGTGTCGAGAACCAGTGATACTGAAAGAAGTAGCCCAGCTGCACTTAAGGCAAGTAGTGAGAGACACGGCTCCAGAAAGTGACAGACCGCCACCTAGACTGTTTCGTCATATGTAAGCTGACTACTCAGAAGTTCAAGCAAACCAAGTTCAACTATATGAGGAAGAACCTGACATCGGGATCAGAATAATTAACAACTATCAATACACAGATGACACAGCATTGCTTGCTGAAACCTAGGAGGACTTTAAGTACTTGCTGATAAAGATCAAGGACTGCAGTCATAAGGATTGCAACTCAATGAAAAGAAAACCCAAATTCTCACAACTGGACCAACAGACAAATCATAAAAGGAGAAAAGCTTGAAGTTGTCAAGGATTTTATTTTGCTTGAAGTTAATGCTCATGGAAGCAGCAGTCAAGAAATCAGATGATGGATTGCATTGGGCAAATCTCCTGCACAATACTTCTTTAAATTGTTGAAAAGCAAGGATATTTCTTTGACAGCTAATAAGGTGTGCGTGACCCAAACCATGGTATTTTCAAGCCCCTCAGATGCATGTGAAAGTTGAACAATAAATAAGGAAGACTGGTTGAGAACTGATGCATTTGAATTATGGTGTTGGTAAAGAATACCGTAGACGGGCAGAAGAACAAGCAAGTCTGTGCCGGAAGAAGGCCAACCAAAATGCTCTTTAGAAGCAAGGATGGTGAGATTTCATGAACTTCAGACATGCTATCAGGAGAGACTACCTCTAGAAAAGTACATCATGCTCTAGAAAAGTATATCATGCTTGGGAAATTCAAGGGACAATGAAAAAGAGGAAGACCATCAGAGGTAGATTAACACAGTGGTACAAGAATAGGCTGAAAAATAACAATTGTGAGGATTGTGCAGGACCAGGCAGTGTTTCCGTCTGTTGAACAGAACCTAACAAGATATTTTTTTAATTTCCCAAGGTTTCTTCAATAAGCATTTCTTCTATCAGAGAGAAAAGGTACTAGAAGATATACAATTATTATTTATAAAACCAATTGAGAACAAATTTCATACTTTCACAAAACTCTACATCATTTGCAAATTATAATATGTTTTGAAAATATCATTCTCTACCAAAAGGAAAAAACAGTCTCACTGTCTTGGAGCCCGATGCCAACTCATAGTGACCCTCTAGGACAGGGCAGAACTGCCCCTCTGATTGTCTAAGATTGTAACGCCCATATTTCTCCTGTGGAGCTGTTGATGATTTTGAACTGCTGACCTTGTAGTTAGCAGCCCAACTGCTACTCACTATGCCACCAGGGTTCCTCATCATTTTCTTTTGTGTGTGTGTGTTAAAATAATTTAATTTTCCCTGTACATTTCTGTCCATATGAGCCAACAGAATTCAAGAGTGCACACTTATATTTACCTGTTTTGAGACATTGAAGTCAATTCAAATACCAAGAGCAGAATTCAGTCAATCACTAGTGAAATGTTGAAAAATATTTTATACAACAACAACAAAGTTTTTACAAGACTAAAAAATAATCTTCCACAATGCATCAAATTGCAGATTACTGAAATTTTAACTCTTTGGATGATTTTCAGTTCAGTTTTTGGTCGTGAAAACGAGAGTTAGAGAGAAAAGATGAAGAAATTCCTGTTTCTATATTCTACATTTTTCTTCCCTGCTTCAACTACCTGCTACTCTGTTAAGAGATGATGAAAGTGCTCTTGCATGACTGTGTTAGGCAGGGTTCTCTAGAGAAACAAAATCAGGACACTGTGACCTTATTAATCCCACATATTCCTATTGGCCAGGCTGGCACAATAAATCTGCCTATTGCAGTCTACCCCTTGCCAACTTGGCACCTGTACACAATTCTTTAGCCATATATAATTTCCAGATGTTAATGAAATCACACTTACACCTAACACCATACATCTATCATACATATAAATGGAAACACACTGAATCTAATTGTATCTGGTTTACATCACACATGAACAAAGGAAAATGTTCAATAAGCACATATAAAGAAGATAAACTGATAATCACAAACCTCGCTTTTGCAATTGATCACGTGGTCATAACAGATAGAACTACTTTCACTACCCATTCTGTATTACCTTTGCCCTTGGCCAGCACCTCAGCTGGCTGTGGTTCTTTACCTGGTGGGGTGACTCAGACCTTAATTCCTGAGGGGTCTGGGTCATTAGACATCCTGTCAGGATTGGGTTGCTGTAGTTTACCATTTACTTTAATCACAGCGCATATTAGTACTAAGAGTACTAAGAGTACTTAGTAGTACTAAGAATCTCCTGGATTCCAGACATATTCTTCTTTACCTCCATTACGTAGCACAAGTCAAATTTCTTCTTGGGAATCAGGATCAATCACACCACTCAGTAGTGACATTCTTCCTGATCTGTTGATCCAAAAGCATGAGAAGCCCAAAGTGGCAAGGGGGCATTCGCAGCTGCCAGTTCAGTGGAATTAATGCTGTTTCCAGGTGGGAGAGTTCCTTCCTTCGGGACTAGGACCTCCAGGCCTGAAGCACATATGGTTGCTGGGACAGGAAGCAAAAATGCTGCAAGGATAATAGTAAGTGGTGTCACTCCAGCTTCCACCCCTTGGTTGCTGGACCCATGAATTCTGGCTATTGGAGACACAGCACCATATATTGGCTGCTGGTTTAGAGCGTACACAGCTTCCTGGAGAACATTGCCCCAGCCCTGCAAGTTGTTGCTACCTAGTTGGTGCCATAATTGTGTCTTTCGGAGCCCATTCCATCGTTCTATCAAGCCAGCAGCTTCAGGATGATGAGTAACATGATACCACCAGTGGATTCCATGGGCATGGGCCCACTGCCTCACTGCATTTGCTGTGAAGTGAGTTCC